TATGGGGTGTCAAAATAAACGTGGTAAAAGCTATCCTAAACTTAGGCTATATTACCTATATCCTTTTGTCATCTAGGATCAAGGTCCTAAGTTTTCTTTCCTCCCCTGGCACGAGATCACCAAGTGCCACTGTACACACCACCAATATCGTCGGCCGAGACCGAAGCAGGAGAGCCTCATCTCAGATGATGCGGCTCTTGACTAAAAATTGATTCGATTCAAGGAGGCTCGCTTCTATGCCAGGGTACAAACATATAACGCATGCCCGTTCCTGAAAATCATGCATCGTGCTCCAGCCATACAGTGCCTCAGCCATTACCTAAAAGTTGGAGTCCCCCCCTGAACAACAAGCCAACATTCAATTGCAGCCAGTGCCCATCGTGGGAAGTCCTTGCGCGTTCACTCCTCAGCCCTGTCAGTGACCTTGATACGTCGACATCTCGGGAAGGGCGCCGTCACGATGGTGCAATCACGGCTCAAAGCAGCGCAACGTGTTTTCAGGCCTCAGCTTCTAGAATCTGCCGCTAGTCCTCGTTTCTCAATGGCTGGCCTGTAGCATTTTTCAGGTACAAACTGTTTCGCGGTTAACCAGAAATATTCGCCATTACTTGCATCATTTTCGATAGACCATCGCATTTCTTGGCGACCCTTAAACTCAGCTGGGAATAACAAACATTTGCGTGGTAGAAGCTTCGTGCACGACCGTCTTGCTAATTACACGCCTCTGGAAAATTTTCCATCATTTGTACAGACAAACGCGTGGGCCAGTTTTGAGCCGCACTGGAACAAGATACGAATTTACGCTATAATTATACCATTGGATCCTCCTTTACGATGGGGCTTGGAGCATCACAAGACGAGCTGAGACTTCAGGTGGATTCGGAACTCCCTTTACAGGGACATTTCCACTTCACGGTGATCTGGCGGCCCGTCTTGTCCTCTCAGCGTTCCGATGTGAAGCGTCTCATTCTGACAAACGAAAATGCAAGGAGTTTTCAGTACCTAGCATCACGACTCTTGAAACCAATAAATCAAAGCGGTCTGGATTAGCAGAGTCACAAACATGCAATAGCCTTCAACGGAGACCCATCTGGCATCAAAAAAGACAATAAGTTGGGCTCTTGGGCTCCACGGCAGATGTTTTGACGAGATAATTGCAATAAAGCTTGAGCTTGGCTTCAGCACGGTTGCAACCAAAGGCTGCAACGGTGAGCGATCGACGCCCATTAGTCGATGAGGCTCAATTCGCATGAACTTACATCCAGATCGATCATCATGTACCAAAACTTGTCTTCCGGCGTTGGTCTGAGCTCGGCCGGCTAGGCGGCAGATACTCCTGACGGTCGGTAGAGTACCCGACATCATTTTAATTTGCGGAACACAACTCCGTGATGTTCACGCCTCGAGACAGTTGGCTTAAACTTGTCTGCCATGTAAGGTGCTCTCAGCCTCTCACCTTGTACCTCTCATAAGAAGCCAAGCGATTAGGCGGACTTGAGGCTCCTCTCTGTTTTCACACAGTGCTTACGGTACCTTGCAATTATACGTACACCCACGGTTGTTTCTCTGCCGACAGTGACCTCTCTCGATGCCAGGGGCCTGTGCGTCATGTGCCTAATAAAATCTTCGACCGGCCACGTCCGTGCATCAATCGACTGTTTCTTTGGGACACTCAAGAGAAACGTGCCATCACGAACAGACCTGGCATAACAACACTTCACATTCCAATGTCTAGCTTAGCCGACAAGATTATATGAGAACACATACGACTTTTCCATTCGTGATGCTACAGAGAGTGCTTAATATTAGCCGTGATGCCATTTTAACAATGGCAATTCACACCATTGGACACCAGATGGAGTCCGGATGCCTCTCAGGGAATAACGTTGGTTTTTTCTCCGAAAGCCACTGTTTCTTGGGCGTCGAACAAAATTCCAAATGACATGTTTTCATGGCTGCTGGTAACCTGAGTCAATTCAATCAATCGCTTGCATTCGTATATGCCAGACACCTTGATAACCTCTAGATAGATGATGCGCATACAAAAACGAGCGTGTGGTTGTTTCTACGGCGTGCGAGGCAGAAGTCCGAGCATGTGACCAACCTCTGTCTCGAAGTTCAGGTATTGTTTGTCAACTGCATCCCAGAAATGGTATCAGATCCAAATAAACTATATGCAAGACATGTAGTTAGGGCATCCAACAGATAGAGATAAGGCAAGCGTATGGCCCAATTGCAGAGCTGCCCAGATTTGAGGAGCATTAGCCTTATCTCTGATCATTCTACTGAGACTCGAACTCTGGGGATTCCCGGGGTCAAGAGATAAGTTCCCATGCTGGGGAATGATAACGAGGCTTGAGAGATAAGGAATTGCCAGATCAGGCTGCACAAGAGACCTTGATAGGTTGAAGCCATAATACTACACTTTTGGCGCATGTGTATCATGATCCTGAACCAGTGAAATGAATGAGTCAAAGTAAGAACCTCTTTCTCCGACAACGGCCTCATCCGTTCACGATGGTGTTTAGCAAATTTTCAAAGCCAAAGACGAAAAATCCTGCGCCAAGCCCAGGCTCTAGCAAAGCGAGCGCTGGGCTAACCTCCGGGAATAATGCACGGAGCAACAAATCCCTTCCATACAGGGCAAGTGGGTAACATATCTTCGATCTTTTTCTAACCCAAACGTCATTCCCGCCAGATCATTCTACGCCTCAAACCCAGAATGTTCTATCTTTGCTCGTGAAAGAACCTCTTTGTCTAGGGTATCGACATCGTCAAAATCGGACTTGACCGGTGGACGGGCCGAACGCTAGGAGAAGGTTGCCGTGATAGGGGTGGGAAGCTCGAATTGGAGTTACTTTGGGGTTTGGGGAAACGTTACTGCTAGAGAAGAAGGGGGCTGTGAATTTCTATCCCTTATGCAACAGCCAGACTCTTGAGTTCAAGGCAAATGAAGAGTAATACCTACGTAGAGTACTGAATGAATTAGATCTGAGCCTTGCAGTAACCTCCTCAGTTTATGACACTATGGGGTTACTCATAATCCTCTCAATGCGTAACCATCTTTTGTTACAAGACCGTAGCTCGAGTTTTTTCGTCGAGCCAGCAACTGGAAAGGATTGACTGTGTTGGCTGGCACTTCACAAGCCTCAGATAACCTCTCTAGTAGCCCAGCATTCAACTATCTAGAGCTTCTGCAGTGAGAAAAGGGGAAAAGACCAGGCTATGGCAGCCTCAAGATCGTTCGGCTAGCCAATTCTCAACGTTTGCGAGAGGAGTATGAGGTGACGTTCTGGTGCTTGAGGAAACTAGAATACTAAGATGCCTAGTTATATTCAACTGGTAAATTATATTCATCAATCCCCACGACGTTTCAAATTTGTTCTGTTCAGGTCAGCTGTAGTAGTTTGAAGAACTGCATCATCAATGATCTTTCATAAGCTATATATGAGTGATACCACGCAGTAAAACTGTTGCTCCCTATCACTGGCTTCTCTGAAAACTTCTAAAAGTTCGGGCTTTTGCTAATGGTCCTTATAATGGAGCAACCATGCGGCATAGTTGCTATAGAACGAGGTACAGCTTGGTGCTTCTCCGGCCTCTGTTTGGATTGATCATTATTCTGGAGCTGTGATTTGCTATTTTGGGCACCATACACTTCGCTTAGGTTGAGATGCCTATGTGGTGCAGCTGGGCATATCAAAGGCACGGGCGAAGGTTGATACGAATAACTTCGAAGGTTGGCGTGGTACTGCTCAAGACTGATATGGTATTGTTGAAGGGTATATGGTGTCGCCGGCGATTGATACGGTATCGTCGGGGGTACCTCTGGTACTGCTGGAGGCGGCAATGCCATCGTAGGAGCTTGTAAAGGTACAGCCGAAGGCTGATGGGGCTGAAACAGCTTTTCATTGAGTGCAGCCCAGGCTGCTGTGTAATTCTGGGGGTCAGAAAGATGAGGATAATCTCCCAGGCTCTTCGTTCTGCGAAGGGTAGGCCTCCGAGGCGGAAAGTTGGTGGCAGAAAGAGAGACAAACTCTTCCCTGACTTTCGCTTGCGTGGCTCTAGGTGACAGCTGTGGTGATTGTAGAGTCTCTAGATGATCTAGAGGTTAGATTGAATACCGAGTTGCAAACTGAATGTACTGACTTGAGCGCTGCGCGCCATACAACGGCATCGCTACGCTTCTATGCTCTGGGACAAGTCTTTTTGTAATGGCTGCATGACCACGCTTGTTCAGCTTTTCTGATTCTTCGTATGGGGTCATGTTGAACGATAATTGTTTTCAAGATAAACCGGTCAGTGATAAGAGATGGCCTTGGTCTGCAATGATAGAAGAACGTGACAACCCTTGAGATATGGGAACCGTAGTTGCTGTTTTGATCTTGATTCCCTGATACAGAATGGGAAAGAGAATTCTGTCACATATATAGGTCTAAGGTACCTAGTAAGTAGGCGTTCTATCAACTGGGAAGAGCAAATGCTACTGTGGGCTACAACGCTCTAGCAGTTCATGGCAAGAGCATATCTTTTATCTAAACCGCCTCGGAGAAGCATTAACTCAAGCTTATGACCTCAATCTTAAATTTCATGAATATCTTGCCTACCTTAGGGAGAGATCTAGAATTCTACTGAATTATCACCTACTAAAGTCTTTTGACGTATAGGATGTGAGCACTAGTTTTTCTTATCCAGATTCATATCAACCTTTCTTTATATCTGATGATGAGAGAATTATCTGTCTTTTCTCGATAGATGTTTGTTCTCGGATTATCTATTTGGCCTCTAAGGTTGTCACTGCAAAGCATTTGCCAAGTGACAAGCACTGCCAACTTCGGCTTGAGGTTATAGCAAACATAGACGCGTCACTACAACAGAAAAACAAAGAAATGCGATACTGGTTTCCACATTTCTCCTCTTGCATTACATTTTGTTCTGACATTTATTAGTGAAGTGTCGTACTTCCGACAACTCTCAACTGGCTGCTGTCCGGGTACAAAATGGAATCAACCCAGCAGGTATGATACATACAGCTATACCCAAGTTACTCATCTACACACACCTACTAACTGCACCGCAAGGTCGAGAAGCAGAGCGCGCAAGAGACTGTTTTCTCTTCAACACGCGGAAATGTCGCGGACCTGGTTTTCCCAAACTTGACCTCACTTTGGCTGTCGCAAGAGCCTGAAGACCAGGCGAGCCTCAGACGACTCAACCAGGTTTGGGACGTGTTCGCCTCAACATGGAGCCCTCATGACAAGATGTATATCTATCGTCTCCTCCCGGAGGTGCGAACTAGCCCTACAAACCGAAAGGTCCCTAGTAACCACAAACTCTACAAACTCCACAAACACGACATCACCTTCGGACTTTGGGTTATTCTCCGATGCATATACCCTGATCAGAAACTTCCAGCTCTCAGACTTGCTCTCATGGAGAAGTATCCAGGTATCGATCTCAATTCCTTCACCGGTCCTGTTCCCAAGGTTGTATGCATGTCTCTCGACAAACACACCGACGGAAAACGCGAACACAAGATTTTGGCTCCTTATTCTAAGAAGGATATGCTTGAGGAAGATGATAATATCACCCCCAGTGACTTATCCGTCAAAGAGGAGGACTACACCTTTGGTAAGGCATGCCCTCCAGGACATGAGTATCCTATTACTAACTTCACATTAGACGATACTGTAATCCACACTCCGAAATTTGAGCCTCACCTGGACCAGCTCCGCTCCACTAAGCCTGACAAGCCTTCCGCCCAGCGTTTGAAAGAGGTTGAGTCGAAAATGCGTGGCATGGTTCTTGGAGGACCTCACAGTGCCTCTTACAGCAAGTTTCTGGAGTCAAAGTCTAGCAATGCGCCAACAGATGTATCTACTAATGGTCCCGATATCACAAAGCTATGCATCAGTCCTAGCGCTATGCACGAAGCAGACGTTGAACGCTCGGCTAGCGACGAATCTTCTCCTGAGGACGACTCTGCCCAAACTGCACTTTCCGAAAAGCGGTTCCTCGAGTTGAAGAATCTCATTACCAATGTTACAACCGAATCGAAGCGAGGTGTTTCTGAGGAAATGCGCAAGATGCATACCGAGACGACGAAGCAGATCCAAAACATGCACACCGAGATGATTGACCAGTTCAAGAAGAATCGGCAGACGTTGGTTGATATTGGTAAACAAGTTGCTGAGATACGAGCACATATCGAGCTTGCGCGTATGGATCGGAAAGATCTGGACGAAGTTGAGGCCAGAGCCATCAACCTTGAGCAGTTCATCTTGTCACTTTGAGGATTTTTGTCAAGGCTGTTGGTGTGATCCCAAAATTTTGAAACGTTTTCCTGCTATATCCTATGGAGAGTGTCTGGGCTTCAGAACCGGGAGAGTTTCTCAAAGGGAGAGTTCTTTGTGTATGGATGTGGAAACTTGATGCATGGAGGGGCCTTTGCGGACTCACAGGAGCCGTGTAATGTAATATGCATCCAGAGGCATTGGGCAGCTAGAGACCAATAACGTGCGGAAGTGAAGGCACTTTGTTCTGGAACCCTGCAGGGCGTTATTAATCACGGTGGCGTCTGCTAAAGAAAGCCACTGCCTCATGTCTGAGCTCTCACATTTTGAGTCCGGGGAACGGTGACAAGACCGAGATTGTCGACTGCAAAGTGTTCGCTTGTTACAACTAATGGCTGTACATACCCCGACTTTTAATCATCCCAACTTGCTTAGCATAGGTATGCCACCTCTGGATAGCGTCGTTACCTTGCCTTTTTGAGCAAATCGTTCATCCCATCGCCCGGAAGCGGAACCAAGCTATGTAAGCGTGGTACTAGTCGAGAGGCTTAGAAACGGGTTCTCCTACGAAGCTTTATTACCGGAAAGAGCCAGACAACAGGTATCGGGACTGTGAAAAGGATCAGTGATATGGAAGATCAAGACTTTGGCATATGAGGCTGATGGTAGCCAACGTTAAGAGGGGGCATGAGTCGTGCAGTTTGAAATGTGAGGACGAGTTGGCACTCGTATCAAACCCCATGTAAACTAATCCTTGCACAGTCACAATCGGACAACGGGAACTCGTCAGCTGCAGGCGCCAGACGCGGAAGAGGCCTTGATTACCCCAGAAAACCCCCTGATCTGATGGAGTTGCATCCCCTTCGTCCATTCATCCTTGTCAGGGCTTTGCGGGGACTGCATGAGATCCTCAAAGGGACCTGCAGACGGATGGGGCCAGAAATCTTTCAACAGGGACTTGCCCTGCATTCTAGCTGTCACAAGCAAGTCGTACATCATTAGTTCTGAAGAGTTTTCACTGTGCATCTGCGAAGTCCCATTAATTGCGTTATATTCTATCGTTCGTACACAGAGGATGAAGCTCCCTCTAATTATATATGTATATGTTAAGTTCCCAGTATCCAGTGGTTAAATCGCTTATTTCGCATGTTCAATACTATAAGGCTCGTGACGAGCATTCGTAGAGCTCGCCTCACTGACTGCTCTCTCGTGATGTTCCGTGATTTCGTCATCTTCGCTGTTTGGTGATCGAACGACCTCTGTAACGATAGTCTTCTTGATTCCGTCGAGGTTCTCACGATGCTTGAGTTCGATCTCATCTTCTTCGCCAAGTTCGATATGTGTTCGTGTAAGACCACCACCAAATCGACTGGCTCCAGCAGGTCGGGCACCAGTTTTGACAGTAGTTCGAGAGCGAGAGCTGTAATCGTGCGTTCCATCTGCTTGATTGTTGCCGGCTCGGACAACCTTGCCAATAAGGTCTGCCATGTTCATCTCAATGTGGAGTTTGCAGAGATAAACAAGAGGGTGAAACTGGACGTAGACGAAGCTGTTTGGTAAAGACATCATTCCAATAAGGAGGATCTTGAACAAAGTCAGTACAAGGTGGCAAACCGAGTTTGAGAGACCGTAACTTACATCCAAGGCAATCGAGATTGCGACGAGGACCATATTCATGTGGTATAAACGGGTGTACTTTTGAAGACCGTTTGCTACCAAACGCTGCTTAACAACCCAAATGAAATAAAAGTTAAGGGCTGCGTCCATGATGGCAAAGAGTACCTTTTCCATACGGTCCCAAATTTCGTTGACATGTATGTATTTCTCACTGATTTGAAGGCGTGCCGGGATCCAAATACAGAAAACGCTGATGTTGATAGACAAGAGGATTCCAAAGCAAGTCCACTTGAGTATAGTTCCATTTCGACGGACAACCATGAGCAGACTGACTCGGTTGATGATAATTTGAATCAGGCATTGAACCTGTATCGACCAAAAGACGACTAAAGAGTCAGTACATGACAAGTGGAAAAGTGCGAGTGGCTTACTGATGAAGAAGTAATATTGGAAACTCGGTTTTATAATCCCACGGAGGTATAGCCAGACCATTATTCCAAGAACAGTGCTAGAGCAGACCTCGAGCCAAATATAAATAATATAGAGAGTTAACCGATTCCGCCTTCTGATTGCTGCTTGAGTTTGGCGCATTGCTTTTCCGCAGTTGAAAATGGTGACGCCCAGGGATAAGCCCCAGATGATCGAAGCAAAATTCATATCGTCGTCAGAAGGAGGCTCCTCCTTGAAGTTGGGAGGGACGAGGAAGCCATTTTCGGTCGCCATAGTGGCAATAGAATGAGGCCGAGTGACTTGATCTCGCCGGTGTTGGTTGGTCAGTATGAAGAGAGTGGGATCAAGTTACCCCAGAAAACGGGGACTGTAGAAGTCGAGATGAAACACAGCACAACATGAGAAATGATCTGTATGCGAGGGTTGGATGCAGTAGTTTATATGATCCAATGTCCACTAGGTAAGGTAGAACAAGATTGAATTCTCAGCAGGAGTTAGTTGTGCATCCAATGCTGTTCCAGGCTCGCCGGGTACAAGGGAAGAACCCTGGGGCCTCAGAAAAGCTTAGTGGAAGGCGGTGATCCGAGTCGTACATACAGACTAGAAGCTAGTGGTAGAATGAATCTGCAGTGGCGGAATATGCATCCGGTGCATTGGTACAATCAACAGGCATGATCCCTACTGACTCCGTCTCTCCACGTCCTTGTTCCATGAGTGATGATGCGCTAGACACGAGGGCTTCAGTGGCGTTGGATGGCCGCTGAAACTGGACTGCAGGAAGCCACAAAAGTCTCTGGCAGCCAATTTGTCAGTTTAGTGGTGAATTCCGGGGCGCGCCTAGAATACAGGGCCTTGGCCTTGGTGCGTCTAGTCTGGACGATGAGGATTGTTGGCTGTCGATAGACTTTTCCTTTTCCTTTCATTGCTTTTTTTTTGACCCACGATATTACTTACTTACTTACATGCATCGCGTCCGGGGAAGATCCCCGTAATTTCCATTTCCCCATGAAAATGTCGATCTTCCTGGGCTTTTTTCCTCGTCTCCAGACTCAGTTTCAGCAAAGACGTAACCTGAAGTGAATACTGGCCGTTTATAAAACCTCCGTACGTCCGGATAAGATTGCGATGTTAGTTGCTTATGTAGGATCTAGTGCACGAGTCAAGACCTTGAACAGGGCTGAGATCGACAACTAAAATCGCTTTAGTTAGTCGTTGGATCCACAATGTGCGGAAGAATGGCTCACATCCCGCTTTGACTTTTGGGTTGCAATTCTGTGCTTCTATCACATTTTGTTGTCTCAGTGACTCGAAAGCCATCCATTGCAAGTGACCCAACGACCTGGTTCAAGAAACAGGGGTATAATGAGGGGGGGAACGATAACATGGCTTTCTCCAGAATCGACAATAGTCCCCGGAACGATGAGACCCCGGCTCCCCTAAACTCTATTGTCATGAATCTTTATCTGTTGTTTCGAGACAGTCAGACTCTTGGCACAGACTTGGGCTGGTGCTTAGGGATGTGGTTTGGCCGTAAGACATGGGCCTTACCGTTGATAGCCTCTGAAGATTGATGAATTATTCAATCACGCTATCACATATTTCTCATATCTCAAAGTTCTAACACTAGAGGCACCACAGGACAGGCCGATATAGTCCAGACGGGCCGTCTTGCCAGCGCCACTACTATTCAACAGAACAGACACAAACGTCCCTACTCGCCGTTGATCTCCCAGGCACTACGGTCACTTCGGCCAAAAATATATGATCTACGGCGTAAAAAGCGAGCAGCATCTTGTCCTACGGGTTTAGCTTCGCTGGTTATTGCACCTAGCTTGACAACCGTGCGGAAGTAGAACCAGGGGCCAGATTGCGCTTCGTCGCCATCTCCAGTCGGAAGCGAGCCTGGGGTTGACAGGCCTTGCAGCAAGATAAGAATCCCGTTGGGAATTTTGTCGATCGCTGAAATTGCTTCAAGTGCGAGATTACTCATTACACAGAATGCTCCGGAGACGGATACCTATTATCCAGATTTGCCGCCCCCTGGGCAACAAGTCAGCTAAGCGGCTGTAAACCTGCTGCCCAGAAGGCTCTGGTCTTTAGCAAAATATACCAGAATGTCATCAGCCTCGACTTCGTCTGACAGTAACCGCAAGGCATTTCCACGTGGAACAACAGTCTATCGGGCAAGCCATGACTTGGTCGCGTCAAAGGCGCAAAACCTCAAACCACTTCTCTTCATTGAACGGAACAGCTTAGTCCAGCATACCAGACGAGTCCTTAGGCCTTGCAAGGCGAACTGGTTTACAGCCCGGTGTGTAACTTGGGCTCAATACTTGATACATCCCTAGAACTAGTCATCTCGACCAGTGTCAGACTTTAGCTATCAGATCATTGCAAACAAGGCTGAACGGAAGAAATACAACGACAGTCCGAGCACATACCCATGATTCAACGATCCCTCGATTTGAAGCCTCATATGCAGCATGACAGCTAGGTCATGTCTACCATTGCTTAAAGGCAAACGCCTCAAGAACCTGCCTTGTCATCAGGCCCGTACCATTCCCGTTACAGCACTATAAAAAGGATAGTATCGTAAAGTCATACGATATTGCCTCACGGGTGCACTAGCAGTTCGTCCCGGGAATTGTGTTGCAGTACCAAGCTAGTTCGTCTGAATATTGCACACCATCAGCGGAGGCGTTATTCCCCCTCACTACTCCTTAAATCCGCATGATTGAGTCAACACGTGGAATGGCGTTTTGGACGTGAGACAGTTCAGCCAAACTCAGGTGAAGCTTGTGATACTTTAGCCATTTCTGGGGTGCTTCGGTTGGTTGTTCCCCCGAAAGGTGCATATCGCTACTACATCAGTGTAACATCATGCAGCAGAAGCCAGACCGTTGTTCTAGCTGATCTCCCGTCTCACACAATTA